AGTAGGGGTCAATGAGAAATTCCACTCTATGATATAGACTTCTTGAATTAGACATATCCCTTATGACTTTCTTTTTGTACCTGGGAAGTATTCAATAAAAGTACCTTGAAGACACAGAGCAATAAACCAGATGAACAGCTGGCCTAATCTTGTAATGGGATTTCTCTGTTCTGGAGTAAGTGCAACTGAAAGATACTGGTCAAGTAATGGTAACACTCATTGTTGATCATGTATACTTGCCTATCCAAAAAGGCTTCCTTCCACTGAAGTTCCACAACCACTGCATGTGTTGTTTAGTGACCACACTTGCTAGATTCCCAAAGTACCTAGATGCAACAAAAGAGAGTAACATAATCAGTTATACAGTGTGGGGCACTTTTCCCATTGATTTTCCTGTACTAAGCATCTATTTTAACATTAAAAAAAATTAAAATCTCATATTAAAAACTGACATTTGGATGAAAGAATGCCTTTGACAAAGGCATATTTTTAGACGTTTCATCCACCTGGACAGAAGAATGTGGAGGAAGAGCTTGATGTTTCTAATGCAAAAAATTAACTCAACTGTGCAAATTACCTGCTGGAAATAAATATCTTATGTTCACATGAAATATTTCTACTAGAAATGTTGTTGCCTTAACAATTCCTAAAAGCTAGCCTAAAAGTACTAGGAAATCTATTAACATGTAATTATTAGTAGTTGGGTTTGTTTTACAAGAAAATAGTGACAGTCTTTTGTAACAGTAACCTATGCTCAATCAACCCTCAACAAATACATTGAGGGGTCTGGTCATGTTCTGTTCCCATTTTGTAGTGCAGACAAAACCTCTCTCTATTAACAGTGTCCCAAAATAACTGCTATTTTGGATAAAAGAATCACCATCTCATCTGCACTTCAAAATGAAATTATGTATACCTGGATTACAGTGCAGTAGACTATGAACCAATTGCTGATAATAGTTGAAACTATTCAGTAAGTGAGGTTTAAATGTTTCCATGAAATTCTTAGTAAACATTTACAAAATTTCTTTATACAGAGTGCCTTCCACTTAGTTCAGTCACTGGTTGGTCTGAGCCTCTGGTTCAGCACCATCAGAATCTTGGACATTTAATTCAAGTAATTTAATTTAATTTAAAAGCACTACAACTCCTAGCCTGTGTTTTGATGGGTTTATGAAAATTCAGTTGTCACTAGGAAAGTTATATTACTTAGTGTTATACTACCCGAGACATATACCCAGGTGGTTAGAGTTATTTCAATCTAAGTAATAGAAACAATCAAAAACAATGAAAAAAAAAGCACCCATAATGGCTAAAATAATATGTAATATCAAGAAGAATCCTTTATAAATACTGACTAAAAACCATGCCTATGAGAAAAAAGACAACCCCTTCTAATCATTACACCTAGCCAGGGTTCTAGACATAAGGCAAGAAAATGAGAAGTTTTCTGAATGTACCATTTTGCTAATAGCATTAACCGATACCCCCAGGCAGGGCTCCAGGCAAACAGAAAATGATGAGATAATGGTATTTATGGAGCTAACTAAATCAAACCAGTCCCTAATTAAAAAGACTCTACAGGAGAGAGCATAATGCCTTATTTAAAAAAAACACACAGAGCACTGACTCTGCTGCCAAATATATTGCCATTTACAATTATTTTACTGTGGTTTAAAATCTATACCATCGGCTAAAAAGCTTTCATCACCTCCAAGCAACTGCCCTAATTAAGGAAATGTTTCAGCTAAATGCTGCCTTCAAAGAATATTTAGTGCAAGAGGCAAGGAATCCAGCGTAACAGATTTGCAGAATTTAAATCTAGAGACTTCAGTACGTTGAGGAGATTTATGCCACTCTGATAAACTAAAGCTGCCCTACAGACCATTTATAGATTTCATAGACATTAGGGGCTGGAAGGAACCTCCTGAGTTCATTATGTCCAGCCCCACTGCCATAGGCAGGAAGTCTGCTGGGGTCAATTGATCCCAGCAAGCTAACATCCAAGCACCTTTTGAATGAATCCAGAGTAGGTGCTTGCACCACTTCTGGGGGGAGTCTGTTCCAGACCCTGAACACTCAAGACTATAAAGAAAATTTTCCTTATGTCCAGTCTAAATTGTCCTTCCAGGAGTTTGTGGCCTTTACACTTTGTTATCTCTTGGGGAGCTCTGGTGAACAACTGTTCTCCCAGATCCTGATGCACCACCACCCTTCTATACTTATAGGCTGCCACCAAGTCATCCCTGAGCCTTCTCCTCTCTAGGCTGAAGAGTCCTATGTCCCTCAGCCTCTCCTCATAAGGCTTGTTCTTTTGGCCTTTGATCATATGGGTGGCTCTCCTTTGGGCTCTCTCAAGCCTATCTACGTCCCTTCTGAAGTAGGGGCCCAAAACTGGTTTCAGTACTCCAGCTGTGGCCTCACTAAGGCCGAGTAAAGTGGGAGGATGACGTCCCTGGTTTTGCTTGAGATGCATTGGTGGATGCATGCCAGAGTTTGGTTTGCTCTGATCACCATGGCATCGCATTGGTCGCATTTAACCAGGAGTAGAGGGGGATCATTCAGTTGATCTGCCATAGCAGCCTCCACATCACATCTGCCAAGGCTAGCACAGGGGGAATACTTGAGGCATCGTAGTGCCCTGGCTGTTGCAGCTTGCAGCAGCAATAAAAGTTAAAGCAGCCAGATATACACCTGGCCTAATAACAGGACAAGGGAAAAAAATCAAAACACAAAACCCCCAGTCTACTGCTTTGTACTGGGAAGCACCAGACAGCCTAGGATCTGTTGTTGATAATGATAATTTGCATTATGGTTGTGCCCAAGGACTGCATTCCTGGACCAGGACCCCATTATGCTAGGCACTGTACAAACACAGAATGGACAGCCTTTGTCCCAACAAGCTTACAATCTAGATTCTGAGATCTGACAATTTGTAAGCTTTATGAAATGTTTTGCTTTACTGAAATGTTAAAGCAAGGAGACTACCAATAGAATCCATGCTGGTACAAATAAAGCTATCCAGATATTCCTATATAACCCAGCCCCTTTGTGCCCCACCAAAGACTGGTTTCTGGCTATAAATGGTCCTCAGAAAATTCCCTCCTGAAGGGGAATCCCCTGTTGGCTTAAACCAAGAAAAGTTGGTCCTAAGCCAGAAGAATTTAACTATATTGATCTTCCCAGATGTCACGTCCCCTACATCATAAATTAAGGTAGCACTATAAGTTGTTGGGTCTTGGCCAATGCAGAATCAGGGCTCTGTAAGTGCCTCTCAGATAGCTCTTTTTACCTCAGAGAAGCTTGGACACAGACAGAACTCATTTTGGAGAGTAAAATTCATAACCAGTTTGTCTGTCATGCATTATTCAAGTGAAAGGTTTCATTTCTACCAACAATTTTTTATGTTGTGTGTTAAATACTCTTCTTGAATAACCCACTTACTGCCATGTCTACATTACCTATCAAAAAACAGTATCCTTGAATTAGTGTGGAGGAAGTGGTACAAACTAAATTGGGCAAAGATCTAGCTTTTATCTCACAGTATCATCAAGACAGAACAGTCTGTTTCAAGGGAAGCAGTTTGTTGTACTGTTTTCTATACAATCCAGTCCCTTTGTGCCTCCAACCCCCTGCCATAACAGTGTATCCTGTTACATTGTTATGCTTAGTTATCTAATAGCTAGTGGGACCGAATTAACTGATTCATATATCATCCAGATTCTAAAGGGTGAGAGGCAGAATTATGTCAAAGCCCAATGGTGAAACACTACCCTTTCTCAAACCTAGACATATCGGTATAAATAATTTATACCAGTATAACTATGTCCAGACTAGGGGAGTTAGTAGTACTGCTGTAATTACACCAGTGTTGTTAAGAAGTACAACTTATGAATGTACACAGGGCCTGAATTGGTAGCCCTCTCCAGTACAGCACAAGACCTATTTAGACAGATTTGGCTGTAGGAAGTATTGGAATAGGAATATTTTTCATCTTAGGTTTGGCTGGAGACTTTTACTGCTGTTGAGCCCACATTTTAGTGTTGCTTAAACTTTTTTCTTTTTTCATCAACATAGCATGCATCTTAAATACTGGAAAAAAAGCAAACCAGAGAGCTTTTTTCAGCTAAAATATTGGTAGGAAAATTACACTTGTTTTCCAGTAATCTGGAACTGGTGGTTTCCTTGGAATTCAAGTCATAGATAAACTACATCTAACTTCCACAGCACCAATAAAATTACCAGAAGCTGGAAAATGCTGATCTTTCCAGTGACAGAAATATAAAAGAAGTTATTAACTTATTATTTTCCAAGATGCACTTTAAGTTGACTGAAACATATTCTGAGATTGGGGGCTGTCTTTTGTGAGCGGCTTGCAGTTGAAATGCCAGGCACATTTCATTTAGCATGAAAAAGCCACCTCAAACTGAAGTCACATTAATTACATTATCATGGCTCATCATAGATTTGTTTGCTTGTTAGTACACTGATATGCTCTGACTGTTCCTGTAGGGGTTTCACACCATCACTTAACCTCATTCAATACAATTTTCATATCACTGTACCCAAACATCTCCAGTGGGAAAGTCATTCCTATAATTGCTGGCTCCCACAACACTGTGGGCCTTCAGGACAACACAGCCATGTAATTCTGGGAGAACTGAAAACTAGCAAGCTGAATGTTAAAGGGACTTCAGAAAGATGATATTAGGATCCCCTGGCCTGATGGTGTTGTTTGGGATGCTGCTAGGAAAAGAATGGGGAAGGTTAAATATAGCTCACCAGACAAATAAGTCATCTTGGAAAGGACAGCAAGGTGTTCTCAGTGAAAGCATAAGCCAGGGCAAATATTAGAAAGTTCAGGAGAGAGACAGAAGCTCTTCCTGACTTTGGCAGCAATACGGTTTGGCAGGTCCTTGGGGGCACTTCCAGGTAGGGAAAAATGTTGCCAACCCTACACTTTCAAAAGCCATGATTTGGCTCCCAAAAATCATGAGGGTTGCCTCAAAAATCATGAGGCACTTTTAGGCATTTGGAATGCTTTTTATGAGTTCCCTGGTTTTTAAGCTCCAGACTCTGGGTAGGCTCCTTCCAGTGTGTGAGATGGCTTGTTCAGAGTTAGAAAGGGTATCCCAGCCCTGGATAGCAATGAATAGTGTATATATAAGCACAGACTCAGCAGAGCCCCAGAAGTACAAAATTGCCAACCCTAGGCTTTCAAAACTCATGAATTCATCTGTAGGAGGCATGTGCACAGCCTTTAGGCATCCTTGCAACCATCTACTGCAATTGTAATCTATTGTATAAAATTGCCATGAAGCCACTAGGATTTATAGGTTCTTTACATGTCTCTATTTTGGCCTCTTCAGATGCAAAATGTAGAAACAACTTTGAGAGAACAGGCTGGGAGCTTGAAGCCAGAAGCCATTGAGGCACAGAAACATACTACATTGGTCATGGTCCTTTTTTCTGGCTCCTTGATTCCTTCTCTCTTGGTTGTTCAGTGGGGCATGAACGATGCATACCCCTGTGTGTAAGGCAAGTAGAACAGTGTCTGCTTAGGCCCTTTTGGAACTAATCAACAGGTCAGCTGGTAATGTCCCTGCATTCCTTCCTTTGGAAAAAGCTGTTTAAGAAAAGCTTAAGCTAATGAGCGAGGCTTTGTTTTCTGATGGGGTGCTAAATGCTAATAACAGAGCTGATAAATGCTCTCTTATCAAGGGCGGGGCGGGGGTGGCGGCTCCCTAATGAAAGCATCCTGTCAGAGCCTGGCCACAGCCCTCTCAGCTCAGCATTGTACAAGGGAAGGAAGAGCTGCTCTAGAGCCCCACCGGCTTCTAACCTGAGCTACTGCAGGCATGTGCCTGCATTTTCTCAGTCCAGAGGGAATGTAGATCATTACAAACTGATTTAGCCTAGCCAGGTTAGACTAACCTGCAAAGATGGAATCAACTCAGGCTCAGGCTTTTTGACTGTCTGTCCCTAGCCTAAAAGTGAGGTGAATCCTTTATGATGCAGCCACATAGAAAAGAGCTATGCAGTTTCTTGGGTGGATTAGGATAAGCAAAAGTTGTTTATTGTGTGAACAGGAAAGCTATGCATCTATGCAGGATGACTTAAGACTGGTCTCTGGTGTGTCCGTTGAGAGAACAGGAGAGTTGCAGATCTCCCTGGGGGATGTACTGCATCCCTAAGGCAAGATATATAATTCTCATGCTACCCATGGAAAAGATTTTGAGGTGCAGTAGGTTTTGGGCCAAAGGGTGTTTATACACAGGCGATGGGAGCCAGGGGAGGGGGGCGAGCACTTTAATTAGATCGGCTTTAAAAA